ATTGGATTAGCATTTAATCTAAGAGCTTATGATTTTATTTCTCAAGAATTGAAAGCAGCAGAAGATCTTGATTTCGAAGCATTTTATACAAAGTACATTCTACTCAATGAAGGTATACGACGTTGGATGGCTATCCAAGATCAAGCTCATGAGAATTATCAGTTCTCAGAAGAGGGGGTTCAACCTTGGTATCACGGAACGTGCCAAAAGGAAGCTTTCAGCTGAGCACCGAGCAAGGAGCGCGAGTGACAGGTCTGGCGAAAGTCTGTACAGCAAGCCAATGTCCCAGACGGGCCATGAGATTGGCGCTTGAGATTTAGTGGACCAAGCGGGCCGGGCGGCTTTCCCAGCGGAACAGTCGGGACACATAACGCTAGGAAGGCAGCCGCTAGGAAGCCGGGGGTAGCCAATTTTGCGGTTAAGGGGGAGCTGAGGAGCTATCAGAAGTTCTGTTAACATTTTGCCCCTTGTAGGGATGCTCTTTGTTAGGGTTATAGGTGCGTGTCGCTCAAATATTGGGTGACATGGCACAATCCCCCCCTATGTTGGTTTAGTCATCTGCCTGGACTCCCGGGAACCCTAAAACAGTCCTAGAGGCATGCTGAAACCGACTTGACTGTCTTCAACCTGTGATAGCTTTGCTAGAATAACCAAACTAAAATGGGATGTTTGCACTTCACATATCATATTATGCCTCAAAGTTGTAGATTTCCCCTGAAACCATTCTGGCAATGGTTCGCCTGAAGACAAGAGAGACCTGTACCTTCCCCTTTAAAGCATGTTTGTTTGACATCGCTTTCCGTGCCAAATGTAGGGCGAGTTGCTTCGGCCGGGGGGTTTGGTTCAGGGGAAAAAATTGGGGAAGCCTGCAAAATCCAAGGGTTGAAGATTGGTTTTGGTCACTTCTTAGTTGTCCTATTTGCAGTTGTTCCAGTTGCCACCACGGCGCAATGTGCCAGTTGCTACCTTGTCAACCATGACCTCATCATCATGATCATATTTGGGTGACGCTACATTGGCTCTACTACATGGGTTCTGGGATGCCACACATATTCCTTTGGTGCAAAACCCTTGCAAGGCTCCCACTGAAATTCGGGATTCGCAGAGGGCCGACAGGATTTGACTGCCAGTTTTTAATGCAGACCCCCAAGGAAATTTCTGGAGAACTCGGGCCTTCCAACGCTTGAGGCCCTGACATGTCTTAAGACCAGGACAAAAGCGAATGTTAAAACCAAGGGCCTGGGGCCACCCTCAAGGAGAGTGCTTTCTGCGACCGAAACAGTTCTCTCATCCCCGCAAGCCTTTCAAGCGGTGTCTTGGGATGCGGCCATATATCCGAGGCCCTTTCGCCCCCCAGAAGCAGAGAGGGAGAGGGTGTGCTAAATTGGACCCCCCTTTGAGAGGTGAAGAAGCAAAAGGGGAAGAGAACAACATGGAGGGCCATGTTTTCTTCGTTGAACCAAATTGCTGACATTGTGTTTGATTGTGATGCTGTTCCGTCGCCTTCCGACAGTGCTGGAACCGCTTGCTTCTTTTGGGCGCGCCGAAGAAACAGAAAGCGCAGGCAGGAACCTGATCTCGTCCTGGAGCATGTCAAACGGGTTGGCAAAAAATCAACATGGCCGAAACCATTTGGGAGTCCACCCACCCCGCACCATGTTTGTTTCTTGGACGTCTTTTTCACCGGGGTTGGGTCTTGGCGGGTGCTGGGTTTCTGCCGCCTGCTCCATGGCCCACAGAGGTGGGCGGAACCCGTGGAATTTCAGCTTTCTGCGAACCAACCGTTCCGTAGCTTGAGTTCGACGGGGGCACAGCCACGCACCGGCCCCTTCGTTTTGAGTCTCTGGATTTGTCTGCCAAAGTCTTTGGTTGGCGTTTCCGAACCATTTCCCTTCAAAGGGAATCTCCAAAAGTGGCGATCGTTTCAAGGGACACCGCCGGTAAATTGCCAAATCTTCGGGGGAAATTTTTAGGCACCTCTGACAATTTGTGTTCTCCATCAGGAATCTCGGACCCAGGCTCTTGTGAGACTCGAGGGGTCACCCCAGGATTCTGATTAAATGGCAAATCCACAAAGACCGCTCTTTAATGTTGACCCCGGATTAATAAACCCCTGGTTCATTAAAAGGGGTTGTCCCCGGTTTTAGTGGGGATTTATCACTCTTGGAGGGGAACACCCCCATATTAATAAACAGGGTTTATTAATCCGGGGTCAACATTACCCGGCTTGATCTATTGGACGCCGGACTCTTTCAGCCAATGCTTTCGGGGTTGGTTGAAAGGGAGCCAAGGACCTGGGGAGGATCTAAAGCAAGCCCAACCATAAATAGCTGCGGCCGCCTTCTTATTTTTTGTTTTTTTTTATATTGCTTTGGGTCGAGTATTTTTAATATGGTGTTGGGTCGTCTTTTTTTGTTTTTTTCTCTTCTCGGGTTGGGTGTAACTCATATGACAAAGGCTTCGACTTTTGTTGGTCAACTCCGGAGACCTCCATGTTCGGACATGGCATCCGGCGGGAAGTAAACTAAGTGTCTCCATGTAGTACCGCCAGCAAGTGTATGCTCCTGCAGTTTGGCAGTGCAATTTTTTGGATTGGTGCCTCGACCCTGGACAGAGAGCGGGAGGGCCGCAGCTCCATTCAATTGAGAGCTGGACATTTCTGGGTTTTGGAAACCAAACTGATAGGATGTCGCATGCAAATGTACATGCACATATGTGAATGGATGCATGCCGCAATGCTTTCGACCAAGTAGCAATTTGCGCTTTTGCCACATGCGGCAGATTCTCGCATAGTCTCTGACAGCTTCCACAGTCCATGGATAAAACAACGCCACAGCCACAAGTTGCACACAGTGCCATTGACATTGTCCTTCAGCCACTCGCCATCAGCATAATTTCCGTTTGGCATCTCAAGCTTGGTTTCCTCCCTGTGTGCGATCAAGGCCTTGCAACATAGTTCATGATACACGTTGCATATATTTTCTGATTAATCTCCGGCTCTGGTGATCGCTGTCCACAAGAACTCACAAGTGATAAACTGAAAATGCTAATTAGACATGGTGACATCTCCTATGGAACAGCCTTGAATGGAGTGACAAGTCAAGCAGAAATCGAAGACAGCACAACTTCTAAACAGACCCGCGTGAAGCGTGATCTGTGTTCATTGTTTTGTTGGCTATGGCGATCCGACGATCAGACATGCTAGTAATTCATGCCTAAGACTAAAGCTGATTTCATATGTTTGTTCTCCCATCGTCCTGCAATTCGTGGCTTGCCAACTGTAAACTCAATCTGTTTCACCTGTCGCTTCATGAGCTTTGAAACTTCAGGCACTGTTCAGATCGGCGAGGTTGTTAGTGTCTGCTATATCAGTAGTATAGTCAGATGAGTGTTAATCACATTCTGTAATTTCATGTTGTGTTCGAAGATGCCATCAAACATTTTCTGAGTCTGTCCTTGCCCTCCTGAGAATCTTTTCACTTGCACACTTCCAAAGATCGAGAGGCCTGTTTTGGGGGAGTCAGAATGACTCATGGAAAAACACGGATGAGGCGGCAAACAAGCTATCAGGCATCCATTCATACAACTCGTTTTCTTGGCGTTGCTCAGCGTTTTTGCAGGACTCAACTGCTTGGCGTTACCAGTCATCAACATTATTTTGTCAGCTCTGTGTTGCGCAGAAATGCTAAGCTTTACTACCAATTCATTAGTATGGTCAAACTAATCGTCATCAAACACAATGATATCAACTTTGAAATGACTTGAAAGATGGTAGTGGTGCGTTGCGCGTGTATCCTCATTGATTGCTGTACTTAATAATATATTTACAGCTACGCTTTGCACATCATACTTTAAACCAAGACAACTGGTGGGTATCCTAGTCTGTGCATGTTCTTGCAAATACCAGACTTACCGGTGCCTGCGACTTTGGCCTTTAACATCAAGCATGTCTAACCAAGTCCACCAATGACTCCTCACCATTGACTCATCATGCTCATCAGGTATCCTTGTTGTAGAACTTTACCCTGTTCAAATCTCCGGCTCTGGTGATTGCCGTCCACAAGAACTCACAAGGGATCAATGCCAATTCCATAAATGAAACATCATCACCTATGGAGCAGCCTTGGACGGAATGACAAGTGAAGCAGCAAGCGGCAATGAGATAGCAGGACTTCTGAAAATACCCACATGAAGCGTGATCCGCCTACTGGAATGCCCAAGGGGAGTTCAAAAAGTGTGAGGGGTTCCTTTGCCATTGGGTTGGATCTCAAGTTTTTTTGTTTCTTCGGGGGGGGGGGGGACTGGGGGCATGGGATACTCCACTGTTCCGAGCTTCTTTGGGACCGAGTTGGGCCATCAACACGCTCCAGGAGTCGACACTCAAATCGGATTTTTCTTGTTCGGCCACCGCCCAGCGGTGGCCGTGACCATTTTTTTCCAGGGCCAGACGGCTTCTCTGTCTCCAGACCCAGGGTTTCGGGGTCAAGCTTCAAGGTACCCAACATTTACAAGGGGGGGTCGTTCAAATGGCAACCAAAGGGAAACCCATCATGATTGTTTGGGGTTCCCAATATTTTTTGTCCGCCGTTTTCTAGGGTAGATTTTGAAAGAAGCCTGGTGTACCAAGGCAAATGCCATGCATTTTAGTCGGGTGACATCACATGCTATTTGGAGTAGGGGGTATTTTTCTTTGGGAGGGTGACCACGCTTTGAAGCCAAGCCCCAAAATGTCGCCCTCTCTTGGGCCACCCTTGTTCATTTCCTTAGGGAAGCTGTGAAAGGACAACTACCCAAAGAACATGTTGCCCTCTTCCCCCACGGAAATCCACAGTTTGTATTGAATTTTGGTTTCGGCTATTTGTGCAGTCTAAAAAACACCACTTGCTTTTTCCAGTTGGGGTGCTGCATGGTTGCCATCAAACATGGTTCAATATCAATCTCAGTCCTGGTTGGTCCCTTCCATTCGAACCTGGTTTAGGGGCCCATCGCTAGGGACCGCCATGTCTAGCATCCGAGAGGAACCTATATTTTATCAGAACCATAGGTGTCCTTCTTAGGGGAGCCTGCTTAAAAATAGATAGCACTGGTTTAACTGGGTTGTGTTCCATTCACAAGGGCCATCTATTTTCCAAAAGGCCACCTAGGATCAGAACCCTTTGAACGGGTCGCCCAACCAGTTGACGAGAACACACATGGTGGCGGCCTTATCCGGTCCAAATAGCTTTTTAGAGTTGTTCCGTTGGTTTAGTCTAACTTCTGTGGTGGACTTAGGATACATTTTTGCATTTTACCAGTGACTCAAAGTGAAGCAAACAATAAAATATTACATTCTATAACTGGGCCTAACTCTAGTCATGACTTGGGTTTCCGTAACCGGGAATTTCTTGCCTCATCCCATGGGTCTGGTGAGCCGCGCCAAGGAGTAAACAGATCTCCAGGCCAAACGACGAAACGACGGCGGTTGGCTGCTCCCTCATGGCTGAGGATGAGCGGTTTGCCGAACTCTGTTTGGGAACTTTTTGTTCCCCCTATGTGTTTTTTTTTGTCGAGAGCCTTTGGACATCATTTGGATGAGGATTTATGTTTGTCCGCCACTTTTGAAGGTGTTTCCTGTTAAAATCCAGGGCCTTTTGGAGGGATGAATGTGAGAGTCAGTGTTTTTGTTTGTTTTCCCGAATTGTCTTGGTGCCATTTGCGGGGGACTTAGTCAGAAACCATGGGACACCAAGGGGGAATTATAAATTTCGGATGGCCCTGTATTTTGACGAATATTCTTCTGACGAAAGTGTAGAAACATCCCCACCATCTTAAAAATGAAGTTGGGGGAGGGGTTGACCCCTGGAATTTTGTTTGTATATGTTTGCTTCTCTGGGGAAGACTGTGCAACTGAAATTGGGGATCCTCCCTCTTTGTAGAAGGGAGGAATGCAGAAGCTCTTTTGAATCATCAATGTGAGAGTGTGCAGAAAAACCTTGTTTGAATCACCGGTTCGAAAGCTCCCTTCTTGTTTGTTCTACGACGTGTACACCAATTCCTAGTTTTCCCACGCGCATTTTGCGGAAACCTCTCATCCTACAACCGCTGGGTTGTGACGCGTAGCATTTTTTATCCCCGTCCACCAGTGGTCCGGCAGAGAGAAATCTGCGCGGCGGTGTGAATCTGCCGGCGGTTTGAACATTTGAAGGCTGGATCGCAAAAAGTACGAGGGTGCGTCGCGCACCAGGCTCCCACCCACCGGCAACTTGGAACCGTTTGGTTTCGATCAAAGCACCGGCCGGGAACCGGAAATCCATTTGTCTTGCCCGATTCATGCCCAGGGACTGGGTGCGTCTTGGCTGAACTCCCCAAAATGAGGCTATCCCCTATACAAACCGGGGGGGCACACCCAACTGGGGTTGAACCTGACTGGGGTTGTCCGTTTAGGCACACTCTCCCACGAAACGTGGCTTGCACGTATTGGCTGGCCTTCTTTCAGGATCTGGAGCATGGCAGACTCACCAAGTCATGTTTGGTGGGAGGTAACATCAACCTGGTACCATTCGCCCCCCCATTTTTGGGTTGGCGCGGCTCGCCCATGGTTCTTTCTTGTGCGGCCCGGCATTTGTGTTGGGATGCCCGATGCGTGAACGACTTGCCTCGCGGGAAAAAGTCGAGGCTCCGGCAGTGCCATCAACGCGGAGGAGAAGGGCGCCGGGCGCCCCTGGGAGCTTTGGACCCTCCAGACCTGGTATCCAAACGACGACCTTTTTGGCCCCTTCTGGATGTCCAGTCAGAGGGCTACGTTTTTTTTTGTTTTGTTTTTTTCTTTTCGGGGAGGGGGGGGGGGGGCAGGCGGGGGTGCGGCTTACCCCAGTAGTTTTGTAGTTAGTTTTGAGGGTGCGCTTGTGAGGTTGTTTTTTGTATGTGACCGTGGCAAGGAATGTATTTTTGAGGGTAAGTTGTTTGACTGCTTCAACGGGGAACCAACAGGAACACCGCGTTTTTCAACGGGTCCCCCCCTATTTTGACACCTACAAACGTGTGTTCGACGTTGTTCCGCGTGGGCGAAACAAGCGCTAAGTGGTACCAGTTTTCATAGGGCTCCATGTATTGCAACGGGATGTCCATCCACGGTATCCTGAACTCCTAAGACCTTGCTGACATGACAAGAAACCTCGACCATAGCTCACGGCACTCGGAGAACATCGATGGCTGGTTTCTCGGTTGTTCGGCTTCCTCTCAAACCAAAGAGGCCGCGCTTTTAGCCATACCCAGACCTCTATTAAGGACCTAGCCTACATGAAGTTTGGAGGTTCCACCGTGAGACCATACCTTCTTACCCAAACTTACATGAATCACTGACAGTATTGTTGGTAGTCTAGCATCAATTTGGGGATTACGAGAAGGGGGGGGGCACCTAAATTCCGAGCAAATTCCTGGCCTCAAAACCACGCAATTTTGCAACGCTCTCTGGGGTATTTTTCTGGGGCTCATATGAGCAGCGATGAATAGTATGTGCCGCCTTCGGTAAAGGGGATGACAAGCGATGCCCTCACCAGATGTTCATAAGGAAAAGAGGTTTCTCACAAGATTTCCAGGCTGGCACGCAATGGATGGGTGATCCAGGGATGTGTGTGGGTGAATTATAACGATCTCACACGACCGAATTCGCCCCAAATGGTGGTTTATGCGGGGAAGATTCCCCCAACCGCCTTATTTCAGGTTGGTGCAATAGTATAATTCACCCAGATTCTCCACCAAAAGGACTGCAGGTCTTGTAATGGCCAAACATCAAGCATGCTGTCACTTTCGGGTCAACCAATTCAGACAGCCTGCCCAGATGTGCGAAGCCCTGGTACAATCGTGACACCCCAGCTGCTTTGTCGCTCTTGACGCCCCAGAGGCCATTAAGGAGCGGCTGCTGCAACTCCTGAAGGCTCGTGCGGTGGGTTTTGTAGAAAGGGCGCCACAACCCTTACCCTCCCAGCAACTAACATGGAAGTGCAAAAAGGGCCCTTTCCAAGAGGAAAGTCGTCGTTCCACAGGGGTCTGTGCACTTCCATGTTGGCTGGTGGGAGGGTAGCCAGACCAACCCAGAACCACTCCACAGCCGCAGGGGGGGGAAGGAGGGGGGAAGTAGAACCTGGAGCATTGGAACCATGTGTGCGATGGCGCGCTTCCTTCCTCCAACAATCTGGGCTCGCCGTCAGCGTCCTGGTTTTCCATAGCCGCTGGCTTTGCTGCCTCCCCTTTGACGGCAGGCGCCGGTGAAATCCTCTTGGCGTTCCTTTCAGCCACTCTGAAAAGGGTACCTTCCAAAAGACACAAGCCCAAACAAGGTTGGACATAATCTCCAACGGGTCCAAGGAAGGATTCCCAAGTAATTAAACCTCAGATTGCGGTTGTTCTCGAAGAGGGTCGGTTGCCCCTGTGGGCATTGCGTGCCCTGATGGCCTTCAAGTCGGAGGCTAGATTGCACCGGCACAGCGCCCTTTCGAAGCCCCAAACGCGCTTCCTCCAGCAACTCCCATGGCAACTTCCGGGTCGGTGGTTGGGGGCCCGGTAGGAGCGCCCGTCTCTCGGCTTCTTTTTGTTTGGCGCCTCCAGAGTGGACGGGCGTGAGTCTCCCTCCGACCGCGGTGCGCGCACCAGCCCAGAACATCTCTGCAGTCCGGAAGCGTATTTGTGGCCGCTCCGGCCACTAGAGGTCTGGGAAGTACAAGTATATAATATAGAATATATATTTGTGCATATATATATATACACAGATATAGAGAGATATATGGCATAACACACTGGAAAGATACAGGTCAAACACACCCAACCAGGGTGCTTGGGGGGGAGGTATCATATATATATATATATTCACACGTAGTCGAATGCGGTTTTCATCGGCTTTTTGAAGAGTTTTCAGTACCCTCGTAGAGCCGTAGGCGTCTGATCCATTAGGACCTACAGGGTTTGTTTTGTTGGAGCCCACCTGTAAATTGAGCAACTATATGTTTGCAGTGGCTCTCAAGCAGGATGGGTTCAATTTGGGTTGTTTCGTTTAACCTGCCTCTTGAGTGGGGCGACGTGCATGGCAAGATAATTCAACCAGCAGCGATTTGAGAAGCGTCGACACCTTTTGGCCTCCCGCGAACTTGCGCAAGGTGCTCCGGGGCTGGTCTCAAGGGTATTTGGCTTTGAATCTGGGTTCCCGAAAAAGAGTCAGGTCAACAACTGGGCCCAGAGGATAATTACTTGGGGTCGGCAAACCTGACATATCTCTACTTTGGTGCATTTTGGATGTTAGGACTTTAACTTTGTGCCAAACTAAAAGTTAGTCACTTTTTGCAGGGGAGCAGCCAGCAGCCGAGTCTAGACTGAAGCTGAAGCACTGATCCATGGCCCCGGGCTGGCTCTCAATGGGATTTTGCGCGGAGTGGTTGGAGGAGTTGAACTCCAGCTGGAACCAAACTGGGATTCCCAAGCCATGATTTTAGTCGTCTTTTTCCGTTTTTTTTCCTCTTGCGACTGGATGGTTTGAATTTCCACGGTGGCTGTGGCCTTCAACTAAAGATGGTGTCCCTAAACATTCTCTCACGGGTCTTTGGGGCGAGCAGCCCAGAATGCAGATCTCCGAAACCCCAACCCACGGGGCTTGCTCACGATTTCTCCCCTACCGTGACCACGGGAATGGCCTGCATGCTGGTACTGTGGATGGTTGCGAAATCCATTTCGCACCACTGTGAACCATGGCTGAAGCCAGTTTTGTTGGTATTTACAGGGGAATCATCCCTCCAGGGTCTCTTAGGTGGTGCAGGATTTTGTTTATTGACAGTATCACAGGTTTCGTTGATGCCTTGTCACTTGACACCCTCGTCGCGGGTGGCTGGTGGCTGAGACCGCGCAGGCGGCCACTGAGGGCAGCCTCCCACACCTGCCTGAGCTCACGATGGCCCGGTGGGTGGATCAGGTACGGCTACTAGGTCCCCCAGCTAGGTGCCTTTCTCACCTTTTTTTTTTGGTTGGGAGGGTTCCCCTACTAAAGTAGACTACAGAAAAAAGTTGGTACCAACTTAGTCTAACCTTTTTACCGGAGGACCTAGGCTATGTGCCAGTTTTCATGTGGCTACCTTTCTCCAACCGGCGAAGAAAAGAACGCAGCAGAATGACATCAAAATCCACGGAAGGGCCCCATGTGGTTCTTGTGCACTCGTGACCACAATAACCCTGTGATCTGTTGCAAACACGCTGCTTCCCCACAAGGGATCGCAACAAGTTGATTTGTGTTTTGGGCGGGCTTTCTGATCAGATTCTGTGGAATGGTGCCCACGAAAAAGCATCCATTTCTATGAGTCTTTGACCTACTGGGATAGGGTCGTACTTATAACTTGCGTTATAAGTTACTACAAGTGGACTTATAACGTGGGACAAGTGGACTTATAAGTTTGCTAAGTCCGAGTCCTAGTTATAAGTTACTTGTCTAGGGGTATCTTAGATAGGCCCACTTATAAGTTCGAGCTAAGTTCCGGGTGCCGGGACTTAGAATGAACTTAGCTGGAACTTATTTTTTTTGCACCATTTTAGGAAAAAAAACTTTTTGGCATCCAGCGTTTGCGGAGCAATGCCCAAAACGAGTTTGCCTCGCTGAGTCTTGACGCGCGTCCTCATGCGAAAAAAAGCACGCGCGCTTTACTCCTGACGTGTCGCAGAGCACATCGCTGAACGCGAGTCCAAACCTTACACCGGGCGATGCGTGCGAATATTTTTTCGAATACGACAGGTCGGCGTATCGCAGCGGCTGGTCGGCCCAGACTGCACTAGGCGCGCGCGCATGCAGTTTACGCTGTTTGTTCGCGCTGCTTCGCACGTTTGGCTCGATGGAGCCGGAGCATTTTTTGCACTGATTGACTCGGTTGAATTTTGTTGTGCGATAATCGTTTCTATAGCGGTGTCTCCGCTGGCGGCCGGTCCGCCTTAATATAGTCGCATGGGGCGGTATCTCCGCCGGCGGCCGGTCCGCCCCTTTTGCTTTTCTCGCTTGATACATCATTGTAGCGGTGGTTCCGCTGGCGGCCGGTCCGCCCAGCTATTTTTGCCACGTTCATTTTCATTTCGAGATGGCACTTGAAGCGGTTGTCCGCCCAGGAATTTTTTAGCGTTGATTTTTATTTCGAGATGGCACTTGAAGCGGTTCCGATGGCACTTTGCGATTTTTTGCATGTTTGGATTGTGAGTGCGCGGATGAAAGGCTGCAAGACTCAATCAAGGCTCCAGAATCCAGACTGCTGACTGCAAACTCCACACTCCAGACTGCAGACTCCAGACTGCAGACTCCAGACTGCAAACTCCAGACTCCAGACTGCAGACTCCAGACTGCAGACTCCAGACTCCAGACTGCAGACTCCGGACTGCACACTCCAGACTCCAGGCTGCAGACTCCAGACTGCAGACTTCACACTGCAAACTCCAGACTCCAGACTGCAGACTCCAGACTGCAGACTCCAGACTGCAGACTCCAGAATGCAAACTCCAGACTGCAGAGTCCAGACTGCAGACTCTAGACTGCTGCACACTCCAGATTGCAGACTCCAGACTGCAGAGTCCAGACTGCAGACTGCAGACTCCAGACTGCAGACTCCGCACTCCAGACTGCCAACTGCAGAATCACGACTGCAGACTCCAGACTGCAGACTCCAGGCTCCAGACTGCAAACTCCACAGACTGCAGACTCCAGACTGCAGACTCCAGACTGCAGACTCCAGACTGTAGACTCCAGACTCCAGGCTGCAGACTCCAGACTGCAAACTCCAGACTGCAGACTCCAGACTGCAATCTCCAGACTGCAGACTCCTGACTCCAGAATCCTGTCCAGAATCCACAGTCCAGACCCAAGAATCGAGCCTCCAAACAGCCCCGTCCCAAAGCCCGGAAAGGCCGCCCCAGTTTTTTCGAACTTAACAAAACGAAACTTAACTTAACCTGGGCGGGTCGTGTTGAGGCGTGGAGTCCCTATTGTAGCTCAATCAACTTAACCGCCAAAATGTCCCCGCGAGGCCCAGTTGCGTCACCACGACTTAACATAACTTAACTTGGCCCCGTGGCCGAATTCCACCAGAAAATGATCAGGATCCTGGAGTCAGGAGTCTGGAATCTGGATTGTGGAGTCTGGAGTCTGGAATCTGGAATCTGGAGTCTGGAGTCTGAAGTCTGGATTCTGGAGTTGGCAGTCTGGAGTCTGCAGTCTGGAGTCTGCAGTCTGGAGCCTGCAGTCTGAAGTCCGCAGTCTGCAGTCTGGGCTCTGCAGTCTGGATTTTGGAGTTGGCAGTCTGCAGTCTGGAGTCTGGAGTCTGCAGTCTGCAGTCTGGAGTCTGGAGTTGGCAGTCTGGAATCTGGAGTCCGGAGTCTGCATTCTGGAGTCTGCAGTTTGGAGTCTGCAGTCTGGAGTCTGCAGTCTGTGGAGTTTGCATTCTGGAGCCTGGAGTCTGCAGTCTGGAGTCTGCAGTCGTGATTCTGGAGTTGGCAGTCTGGAGTGTGGAGTCTGCAGTCTGGAGTCTGCAGTCTGGAGTCTGCTGTCTGCAGTCTGGACTCTGCAGTCTGGGGTCTGCAGTCTGGAGTGTGCAGCAGTCTAGAGTCTGCAGTCTGGAGTCTGCAGTCTGGAGCCTGGAGTCTGTAGTCTGGAGTCTGCAGTCTGGAGTCTGCAGTGTGGAGTCTGGAGTTTGCAGTCTGAAGTCTGCAGTCTGGAGTCTGCAGTCTGGAGTCTGGAGTTTGCAGTCCGGAGTCTGCAGTCTGGAGTCTGCAGTCTGGAGTCTGCAGTCTGCAGTCTGGAGTCTGCAGTCTGGAGTCTGGAGTTTGCAGTCTGGAGTCTGCAGTCTGGAGTCTGCAGTCTGGAGTGTGGAGTTTGCAGTCAGCAGTCTGGATTCTGGAGCCTTGATTGAGTCTTGCAGCCTTTCATCCGCGCACTCACAATCCAAACATGCAAAAATCGCAAAGTGCCATCGGACCACCGCTTCAAGTGCCATCTCGAAATAAAAATCAACGCTGAAAAATTCCTGGGCGGACCAGCCGCCAGCGGACAACCGCTTCAAGTGCCATCTCGAAATGAAAATGAACGTGGCAAAAATAGCTGGGCGGACCAGCCGCCAGCGGAACCACCGCTACAATGATATATCAAACGAGAAAAGCAAAAGGGGCGGACCGGCCGCCGGCGGAGATACCGCCCCATGCGACTATATTAAGGCGGACCGGCCGCCAGCGGAGACACCACTATAGAAACGATTATCGCACAACAAAATTCAACCGAGTCAATCAGTGCAAAAAATGCTCCGGCTCCATCGAGCCAAGCGTGCGAAGCAGTGCGAACAAACAGCGCAAACTGCATGCGCGCGCGCCTGCCCTGCTGCGTTGAGTCACACGAAAATGTGTGCTTTCCAGCGCGTAACGCTGCATCACTGCCATGCTTCAAAATGCATGTGTTTGCCAACTCAATGAATTTAGAATGCACTTAGCAGACTTAGAAAAACCTCTTTTCTAAGTTCAAGATAAGTTACTTATAAGTCCAAGCTAAGTGCTGTGTCACTTATAACTCCAGCGTAAGTACGGCCCTATCCCAGTACAGGTCGAGAGGTCCCACCATCTGCAAGAACGGACTCTACAGACCCCCCTTCCAAAGATGCCAAAATCCCGTCCGCTGCCCGGCCGAATGTTGACCCCGGATTAGTAAGCCACTGTTTTTTTTCATGTGTATGTGTTTCCGTGCCAAAGTGATGAATCCCCACTAACACTAGGGACGCGCCCATATTCATACACAGCGGTTTACAAATAGGCATGGGTCAAAATCAAACCACCAGGGCAGGATTTAGTCCATGTTTCCATTTACCTGGGATCCATTTTGTGGTACGGTACCTTTTTGTGACCCCCAAAGGGGTCAGCATCACTTGGCTCGACTCAATCTGCACATGGCCAGGTGGTGCGGAAGCTGTGCCGCTTTGACTTCCCCCTGAACTGGGCCTGCGGCCCCGGAACCGGAGCCCGTTCGAACGGTCCCAACGCTCCTTCTGAAGCTTTCGAGGGCGTTTCTGCTTCCTTGCCGGGTCCGGGTTCGACTTGTTTGCTCAATAAGCTGTGTTTGTCAGTTGTTTGGAATGCCCATAGGCCTGGGTGTGACCCAGATAAACATGGCTAGTCTTCCTTGGATCTCATTACAGGTACCCCTTTGTTGGTGGTTTGGATTGGCTCAGGGATTAGAACCCCACTTTCTCTTGAAGCCACACACGCAAGGTGCCCCCTAACGTCCAAACCACCAAATGATAATAACCCGAGCAAGTGACGAAGAAGCGCGACATCAAGTTTGAAGAATTGCGACGTCGCTGATGTCAGGTTCACAGGATCCCTTTCGGTTGGTGAAATTGTCCAGATGGGCTCAGACGCCTTTTGTGTTTGCTTGCTAATTTTGGGGTAGACATTTTTACATACTAGGTGTTGTTTTTATAGGGGTGTGGTCATGATAGAAATGAATTTCTCGTGGCGTTAAAGGAAGCTGGTCATGCCTGGTCAATGATGTGTGTGTCTCTCTCTCTCTCTCTCTCTCTCTCTCTCCCCCCTCTGTCTTTGCGTTTACATCGCAACAAACTCTTGATACCATCATATGGTTTGAAGATTCGTTAGACATGAATTACTAAACATGGTTGCCAGAATCTCATCTTGTGTTTTCCAGTTTGTTCCCGCTAAAGTGTGTGTTTTTCTTCCTTTCTTTTTCCGGGCTTAATACCCATGGTTGCCAGAGTCTCATCCCGTGTCTTCCCGTTGTTCTTTTGAGCTATTTGTTCAAGGCTTGCTCAGCATGGTTGCAGAATCTTTTCTTGTGTCTTCCTGTTGTGCTATATAGCTTTGTTCAGGGCTTGCTAAACATCGCCAGAATCTCACTTTGTGTCTTGCTGTTGTTCTATGTGGCATTTTTTAGGTCTTACTAAACATCGCCAGAATCTCATCTTGTGACTTTCTTTGCGTTCTATAACACACGGCGGCAGCCTCAACCAAGTCGAACAAGAACGATGCTCAAGGAGCTTCGACAATCCTGGCGCCGCCAAGAAAAGATGAATTCAGGTGACGCCACCTGCTCCTCCGTCAGCTCCAATGACACGGTGCGGGAAGTGTCTCGCGGGTAATGCAACGCAATGCTCAAGATGGATGCAGCGCGATGCATGCGCAGCCATAGACTTTAGAGAACGCATCGACGAGGATAGCTTCACCTTTGCGACATTCCGCTGCGGAACGAATTTTGTGTCTTCCTCTTGTTCTATGTCTATGTGGCATCTTTTTCAGAGCTTGCTAAACATCGCCAGAATCTCATCTTGTATCTTTCTCGTTGTGTGATTTGGAATAGTTTTGCAGGGCTTACTAGACATGGCCAGAATCTCATCTTGTATCTTTCTTGTTGTGTGATTTGGAATAATTTGTTCAGGGCTTACTAGACATGGCCAGAATCTCATCTTGTATCTTTCTTGTTGTGTGATTTGGAGGACCATTTTTCAGGGCTTACTAGACATGGCCAGAGTCTCATCTTGTATCTTTCTTGTTGTGTGATTTGGACTAGTTTTTCAGGGCTTCCTAGACATGGCCAGAATCTCATCTTGTATCTTTCTTGTTGTGTGATTTGGACCTTTTTTTTCAGGGCTTACCAGACATGTCCAGAGTCTCATCTTGCATCTTTCTTGTTGTGTGATTTGGACTATTTTTCAGGGCTTACTAGACGTGGCCAGAGTCTCATCTTGTATCTTTCTTGTTGTGTGATTTGGACTATTTTTCAAGGCTTACTAGACATGGCCAGAATCTCATTTTGTATCTTTCTCGTTGTGTGATTTGGACTATTTTTTCAGGGCTTACTAGACATTGCCAGAATCTCATCTTGTATCTTTCTTGTTGTGTGACTTGAACTTTTGTTTCAGGGCTTCCTAGACATGGCCAGAGTCTCATCTTGTATCTTTCTTGTTGTGTGATGTGGACTATTTTTTCAGGGCTTACTAGACATTGCCAGAATCCAATTTTGTACTTTTTCTTGTTGTGTGATTTGGACTCTTTTTCAGGGCTTCCTAGACATGGCGAGAGTCTGATCTTGTATCTTTCTTGTGGTGTGATTTGGAGTATGTTTCAGGGCTTCCTAGACATGGCCAGAATCTAATTTTGCATTTTTCGTGTTGTGTGATTTGGACTTTTTTTCAGGGCTTCCTAGACATGGCCAGAGTCTCATCTTGTATCTTTCTTGTGGTGTTATTTGGGGTATTTTTCAGGGCTTACTAGACATGGCCAGAATCAAATTTTGTATTTTGCTTGTTGTGTGATTTGGACTATTTTTTCAGGGCTTACTAGACATTGCCAGAATCTCATCTTGTAACTTTCTTGTTGTGTGATTTGGATTTTTTTTTCAGGGCTTACTAGACATGGCCAGAATCTCATCTTGTATCTTTCTTGTTGTGTGATTTGGACCATTTTTTCAGGGCTTCCTAGACATGGCCAGAATCTCATCTTGTATCTTTCTTGTTGTGTGATTTGGAATAGTTTTTCATGGCTTACTAGACATGGCCAGAATCTCATCTTGTATCTTTCTTGTTGTGTGATTTGGACTATTTTTTTCAGGGCTTACTAGACATGGCCAGAATCTCATCTTGTATCTTTCTTGTTGTGTGATTTGGACTTTTTTTCAGGGCTTCCTAGACATGGCCAGAATCTCTTCTTGCATCTTTCTTGTTGTGTGATTTGGACTATTTTTTTGAGGGCTTACTAGACATGGCCAGAATCTCATCTTGTATGTTTCTTGTTGTGTGATTTGGACTCTTTTTTTTTCAGGGCTTACTAGACATGGCCAGAATCTCATCTTGTATCTTTCTTGTTGTGTGATTTGGACCTTTTTTTTCAGGGCTTACCAGACATGTCCAGAGTCTCATCTTGCATCTTTCTTGTTGTGTGATTTGGACTATTTTTCAGGGCTTACTAGACGTGGCCAGAATCTCATCTTGTATCTTTCTTGTTGTGTGATTTGGACTATTTTTCAAGGCTTACTAGACATGGCCAGAATCTCATTTTGTATCTTTCTCGTTGTGTGATTTGGACTATTTTTTTGTTGGCTTACTAGACATGGCCAGAGTCTCATCTTGTATGTTTCTTGTTGTGTGATTTGGACTATTTTTTCAGTGCTTACTAGACATGGCCAGAAGCTCATGTCACTTTTTTGGGCAGCTAGCTTTGCGTCGGCCGCGGAATAAAATTGGTTTTCGCCCCAGGACGGGTTGGCGCGCTTCCTGCTGGCCGAGCTGCAGGCACGGCAGCGGTTGCTTGATCTACTTTGGGTAGGGCCAAGCTGCAGGCGGTTCTACTTTGGGTAGGACCCTCTTTACACCACCCCCCCTTAGGAGTGGACCCTCTTTAGGGATGGTGCTTCGGGTCTGGGAGGGGACAGTACGTACTTTAGTACTGCCAATTCTACTTTAGTATTGCCAAAGCTGACTCTCAGATTCCCTGGTACTTACTTTAAAAAGTATTGCCAATTCTACTTTTGTACTCTCAGATTCCCAGGACTTGCGTTACTATTGCCAATTCTACTTTAGTATTGCCAAGGCTGACTCTCAGATTCCCTGGTACTTACTTTAAAAAGTATTGCCAATTCTACTTTAGTACTCTCAGATTCCCAGGACTTGCGTGCTTTGGCCATTCTACTTTAGTAGTGCCAAAGCTGACTCTATTCCCTGGGATTAGTACTCTCAGATTCCCAGGACTTGCGTTACTATTGCCAATTCTACTTTAGTAGTGCCAAAGCTGACTCTCAGATTCCCTGGTACTTACTTTAAAAAGTATTGCCAATTCTACTTTAGTACTCTCAGATTCCCAGGACTTGCGTTACTATTGCCAATTCTACTTTAGTATTGCCAAGGCTGACTCTCAGATTCCCTGGTACTTACTTTAAAAAGTATTGCCAATTCTACTTTAGTACTCTCAGATTCCCAGGACTTGCGTTACTATTGCCAATTCTACTTTAGTAGTGCCAAAGCTGACTCTCAGATTCCCTGGTACTTACTTTTATTGCCAATTCGACTTTAGTACTCTCAGATTCCCAGTACTGCGTTACTATTGCCAAATTCTACTTTAGTATTGCCAAGGCTGACTCTCAGATTCCCTGGTACTTACTTTAAAAAGTATTGCCAATTCTACTACTCTCAGATTCCAGGACTCGGACCCAGTGCTATTGTAGTATTTAGGACTTTACTATTGCCAATTCTACTTAGTATTGCCAAGGCTGACTCTCAGATTCCCTGGTACTTACTTTAAAAAGTATTGCCAATTCGACTTTAGTACTCTCAGATTCCCAGTACTTGCGTTACTATTGCCAATTCTACTTTAGTATTGCCAAGGCTGACTCTCAGATTCCCTGGTACTTACTTTAAAAAGTATTGCCAATTCGACTTTAGTACTCTCAGATTCCCAGTACTTGCGTTACTATTGCCAATTCTACTTTAGTATTGCCAAGGCTGACTCTCAGATTCCCTGGTACTTACTTTAAAAAGTATTGCCAATTGTACTTTAGTGTTGCCAAGGCTCACTCTCGTCTTCCCAGCACTTACTTGAGTATTGCCAATTCTACTTTAGTATTGCCAAGGACCGTGTTTTTCAGCAACCACCAAAAAGGTTAGACACTAAAGAGGACACCAAAACAGTCACATCAAAGAGGCTCAGGGGCAGCCCCGTTGTGTGACGTTCTGCCCGCACGTTTTGCAAAGAAGTTATCTTAAATTTGATGGTTTGGGGGCCACTGGCAAAATGAGCTTCCTAGATCCAAGGCCTTTACCCTTTGAGCCGGGAAGAGCTTGGTCAGGTGAACCACCCTAATAGTAGAAGGCTAAGGCTTGAATTTCATAATTTCAGCAACCCGAAGAAACTGTTGGACACTAAAGAGGACCCCAAAACAGTCACATTGAGGAGGATCAGGGGCCCTTGTGGGCAGCCTCCTTTGTGTGACTGTTTGCCCGCACTTTTTTGTAAGGAAGTTATCAGAAATTTGGTGGTTTGGGGACCACTTCAAAAAGTCCCTATGTTTGCCCGGATTTGTTTGCGTTGTTTTTTTTGCCCGACTTCTTGGCCAAGTTTGTTTGGCCCAGATTGTTTTCGGAGGTTTGGTCCAGCCTGAGCCAGACAAGATCAGGAGAGTAAAGAACAACTTCTTTTTTGTTCTCCGGGGAGGGGGGGGCACAATTGAGGACCCCAAAGAAGTCACAAGATCCTGAATTGCGAAAATATGTTGCTATAATACAGGGTACTATTAATAAAGGAGGTGTAGCATTGCCTGTTCTTGACCCGCAGCCATATGTTTTGCATTTTGAGGCTAAGTAAGGATGGACCAGAATCAAAATATGTGTTGTGGCTGGGGGCAAAAGATGAGGTAGGGAATAAAAGAGCTTGAAACAAGTATTGACCATCAGACAGGGAACCGCCCAAAAGCGCGTTGAAACTATTTTCTGAAGTGCAGATTGGAGCTGGCTCAGCGGTTAGTCCCCCGTAGCGTGAGTCTAAGGCACGTTGCTGAAGTTCCGCTGATTGTAGCCAGGGACTGATGTGTGCCCATGTCCAAAGGCCTTGTCAAGACCTTGCTTTACTCTTTTGGTGGGCTTTGCTTTCTGGTTGCTCACGGAATGAGCGAATGACCCCCTATCGACCATCCCATGTTGTTTTCCTCAAGGGGATCCCTCGGTTCCCTTCAGATTTTCTCCTCAGATTACAAGTGGGACAACCCCTATAAATCAACAACAGGAGATACTTCCATTTAGTGGTCATGGGAATCCTACAGTGGGTGTGGGGGTCAAATGGGTCTTGCCTCCTTCCCTGGCTTGGATCGCCATGGAACCTGTCATTGGGGGGTGAGACCAAAGGATTCCTTTGAGGGAGCCAAGACCAGGCCCACAACTTGAGGAATTGGCATTGCATGTGTGTATTCCCTAGAATACTGTGGATGGACGAAGTCCGTTCTCACCAGATTGAAACCATGGTTGAAACCATTGTTTGTTGGTATTTACAGGAGAATCATCCTTCCAGGGTTTCTCAGGTGCTGCAGGATTTTGTCCATCCACAGTCTATGTTTGATCATGTTTTCTTTGGTGTCCCTGTCAACACCGTGCAACAGGGAGTTCGCCTCCAATTCAGGAAACTCAAGCAACCGCTCATCCACTCAATCAAGCATTTAACCACTTAGTCTAGCAGCTAGCGCTCAACCACTCGATCAACCACTCAATCAAGCACCCATTCAGCCGACTCAACCAGTCACTCGCTGGCCCACAAAGCCGACCTTTTGATTTGTTGTGCTCCCCAGTTGCCCATGTTGATTCAATGCGTCCAAGGTTCCAATATCAGACGTGAGGTCAACCCCTGAATCAGCCACGTTCCCAGTCAAACCTGAACCAATCAGTCAACAACTTCACTAAATTCAGTACAAAGAGAATCGTGCTTTTAACCTCTTGGGTTTGCTTTCTGGTCAATATTTGGAACATCTCTCACCCCCCTCCAGAATTTTCTACACCTTCCCACCCCCCCCAGGGTATGTATTGAACATATCTCCAAAGGTTGGATGTTGGTTCTATTTCCAGGTCCATGGGGCAGGTAAGTACATCAATCACTTGCCCCATGACTCACTCCGCTAACGCAGGCGCTGCGAGCGCGGGGGTTCAGTGAAGCCGCAGGGGGGCCCTGGTGACATATTGGGCGTGCGGTTTTTCAGCCGCATCCTTTTTGGGGTTGGTTCAAAGTAATAAACATTTTGGGGGTTCCCCACTTAGACACAAACTCTTATACAGAGTTGGCTGGAATGATACCCCGGGGCTTTTTGCTGGTTTCTTCTCTTTTGGAGGGGCAGGTTGGGGTTTCCCGGCCAAAAGGCTTGTAACTTGTAACCCAACCCATCAAATCAAGTAGCATGGCCTGGAGTTGTAGGACGCGGGTTTCTGGAAAGGCTATCCAGCGGCAGTGGGCTTGGATCGGAATTCCAGAGAAGGTACTCAGTGGTTCAGTGGCACCCTTTTTCCCTTTTTGTTGGGTGGCTGCTCCACTAAAAATGGTCCAAGCCCCAAAATGGGTTCCCTTTTTTTCCAGGGTCACTGAACAACTGAGGGTATGTGTTTGCTTTACCCCCCCTGTGCGTCCTGGTTTACCAGTTTGTCCAAAACCAGGCAGGATCTGGTGTTTTGGCACGCGCAGTCACCTACGGCCCTTGTGTTCCGCATGCGCCTTTTGACGCGTGTGTGTGTGTGTGTGTGGACCGCAGAGCCGATGGCTTTGCTCGGGAAGGGATGATGAGGCATGTTCGGGGTGATATATTTTCCCATTATGAGGGATCCTTCTTTGCAGAAGCCACAAAACAATCAAGCGGAACACCATGTCATCGAGAAGTTGATGGTTGAACAGAACTGGAATCTGCCTTTGGAGACATGCAATGGATCAGGCAACCGAACACCAAGGGCAATTTCCATGTCATGCAGGGAAAACGGCTCGTGGAAGAGTTCGGGGTATCTTGTTTCGCCCCGCTCAGTTCAGAAACGGCTCAGTAGTCCAAAGCCCACTGCTTTTATCCTAGTTCTCGTTAACACATTGTTACATATTTAGGTTGACTACTTATGGAAAGAAGCCTTCGTACTATTTTTGCAAGGAGGACCAGCTAAGGTAAACAAACTGGCGGCGCTACCACCCTGAGAGCGTACCAACAAGAATTGCGTGTCTGGGTACTTTCATGGAAGGTAGGCAGAATGCGACGCAACAAGCGTGTCAACAAGCTTCTGGTCCCTTTGTGAGAAATCTAAAGTAGGTGATGCAAAGGCGGGAGGTAGTCGCTTGCTGGTTCGATAGGCAGGGAATGAGTATTGGGATGACCCAAAACTAAACCATCCCCGATTTGGTGTCCTGTATTCGGGAATCCCCCCAACCCCCCGGTTCATTCCACTCAACAACCGCCCGGGCTGGGTCATTTTTTTTTATCATGGATCACCCGCCAACACCCCCACGCCATTCCCCTATCGACCAGCTACTTGCGCTGACTCCCATCAGCTCCGAGGCCTTGGGGGTGGTCTTGGTCCTGCACCAGGTGCTCAAGGAGCAAAGCACCAAGAGGCCCGCTGGGCTTCGAGCCGGGCAAAGGAGCGCGCGACAACGCCCTCCGAAGGAGACGCGACGACACGTCGGTTTGCAGCTTAAAGGTACTCATCCCATCAAAATGACATAGAACTAGGTGCATCCTGAGTGGATGATAGATTGCAGCCAGCGAAAAAAGGGCACTATGTCGTGTAAACTTCACCCGTCTAGCTTCGAACTATACCCCGAGAGGTGATTGCAAGGGTCGAAACGCAGGCTGTTTGGCAGGCCTTTGCTACCTTGCATATTGCGGTTGGTTGAACGGCGGAGGACCTCCATTTGAACGCTACATAACGACAGTGGACACCGCCCGGCTGGGTTCTGTAAAACTGTCCGTGCCAGCAACTAAAGGACACATGGTCGTGAATCGTGTGGAAGGATGTCTTGCTTCCGAAGGAATTTGAGAGCCAAGCTACTTCAAGGTGAATGACCCGAGGTTGCAGTAGCTGCAGAATGAATCCCGCTATTGAGGTCTTCTGCATTTTTTGCTGTTGACTCTCAACGGCAATCGTCATGCCTGCTAATGCAATCGTCTTCCACAAACACAAGTGAACACCGTCCCAGTTCCCATATCCTTTTGGGGAAGCATTTGCATTCTGTTCGGCGCGCATAATATCATCCAGGTGAGAGGAGAAGCTTCAGTTAATTGCCCCAAGGAAACAGTCAGCCAGTGTACTTTGCAGCCGGGACTCGAATCGAAGGTGTGCGATCGTTACATGCACTGCAACGTGGCACTTGGAAATGAATCTATGATGTGTTTCTTGGAGAAGCGGTCTTGTGCCGCAGCCAAACTTCTGTTTGTGTTTGGCTTGCTGCAGTTCTATGTATATATAACTACATATATGATATTGAGTATACACTCCTGAGCTTACCATGATCAGAATCAAACATGAAATGTGATAATCTAAGATAGACGCACATTCTTTTGTTTCCAACAGTTGCCCACTGCGGATTTCCCAGTGGCATCTGAGCAACTGCAAAAATGCTGTCACATCAGGCACACACACACACCAGGTTGTGGTCCTTCTTTTGATGAATTTCACATCCGTCCACACGGCACGACATGTCCTCCACAAACTCCAGGGGTCCACCAGAATTTCCATTCATAAAAAGCCAGCTAGAGGAATTCTAGATCCCCCAGTAGTGCCCTTTCCCTGTTTCTTTTGTGGGGGAGGGTTCCCCTACTAAAATAGACGTCCAGAAAAAAAATCGGGTACCCTTATTCGAACCTCTCTACTGGAGGATAAATGAATTTCTACCACAAACTCCAGGGTCCCAAAAGTCCGTTCATAGAAACCAGCTAGAGGAATTTCTATATGGGCCAAAGACCCATACCCAACACCAAGGTCCCAAAGTCCCAGGCTGCTGTCCAGCCGCCGGGAGTTCCATCAGCTGGGCGGCCTGCTGTTGGAGCCTTTGGGCGCTGCACGGAGCCCCAGCAAAGGAGAAGAAGGTACCCCTAGGTGTCCTTAGGTTGGTTATAGAGACATGGCATTGGTTTGAGTTGGTTCCTTTTTGGAATTTGTTAGGTTTTGCTTAGACATACATGGGATCCACTGGTTTAGATGGGTTTTATAAACCATTTCACGGCGGCATATGTTTTGTGAAAGGACAGTTGTGAATGTTCAGGCGAGTTTGAAGGGAAGCCCAAAACGATGGCCACCAGTTTGAGGGGTCCCCGATTGTTGCTTTTTTGCCTCCGTATTTTGCCTTACCTTGCCGCGAAATCTGTGTGAGATTCGTATTTTAAGAGGAATGTGGTCCATAGTCCGAACCATCAGAGTAAGTCTATGGCCCATTCGGATGTATGTTGGCAGTTATTTTTTGTTGCAACCATTTGGGAGGGATGTGCGAGCCTCAAATTTCAACCTCAAAACCTGTTTAGGATTTGAAAGCTTGGGATGAAGGTAATTTAAGTACCAGGAGATCATTATTTCCAGTTTGGAAATTGCTATTTGTGCAGATAGTTGCGCATGACACTTTCTTTTTGCACTTTTAGTTGGGGCAGAGCACGTCACCAAGTGGGTTACCCATGGTTATAGAGCATCAAATGGAGAACCATGGGTACGAAACCACTAAGCACTCGCCCCTAGTTGCCTTCAAAGTGCGAGGTTGACATTCAGAGATTCCAGTTGGGTCAAGCTGCCCTACCACCCACCCAGCCAACAAACGCCACCCGCCCGAGCATACCTCTAGCTTCGTTCTATGTTCGTCCCCGAGGTGAGGTGGGCATTTGGGACCCGGGTCTGTGGACCGCTTGGTTCGGCGCTTGGAAAACAACTCGAGTGAATCACTCGCCGGGCATTGAGACCAAGCCAGCACTTCTTAAGCTCAGCTTCAAAAGGTATGAGAGGAAGGCAACCATTCTAGTTCATACAAATGTATATATATATATACATAACAAGCAACATCAAGGTGTGAAAAGCGGCCGATCTAGTTCATGTATATATATATATATAACAAGTAACTCAACAACCAACTTGATCAATCGATTATTCATTTGAGTGCTGCTATATCCGGTGCTGTTTGCAGCCTTGGGTGTCCTGGCGGTCGGTTTTTTCTTGCAGGTGCTTTGGATCAAGAAGTTTTCGAAACCAAGCAGGAGGGGGCAATCAGATAATCAGGGGGGTCCTCTATGTTTGGAAACTCCAAGCAGGGGGCCAATGAAGTCCCCTGTATCGCCAGTTGCTGTTTTTTTTCATCCATTTTACTCCAAAAAACCGCAACAGTGACTGAACAATGCAGCAACTTGTCCATCTAGGCCTCTATTTTTGGTGAAACAAAGGCCTTTGGCTTTTGTCTCGATGCCAGGTTTGGGCTCTGAAAATGGAGCACCTGCAGCGTCTGAAGAACGGGCCGGGGTGCTTGGACTCGGCGTGCTTTGATTCGGATCATCCGCCTTGCAGCTTCTCTTTCTAGGGATCCTGGGAGGTGTCGACTTTTTTGGGGGGCGGGAAACCCAAAGTGGGTTGGTTTAGTCGTGGGGGAAAACAAGCATTTTTGGGGGCTCCCCTGACTAAAACATGTGGTTTTTGCCGAAGTTTTGTGATATTGTGAGCATTGGACCTGTGACATGAGTCAAGGGGTCCTTAATCTGTTGCCTTGAAACATCTTTAACCAGCAAAGAGAATCCTCTAAGGATCAATGTCAAATTTGGTCAATGGGAATGGTCAGTGATAAGTAGGGACCCCGGTAATGTTGCCTAACATAGAATGTGCTCATACTATGCATGAGCATGCCTGCTTTGCAGAGACCACCCCTATCAATCAATCCCTCAGGTTTACACCATCGAAGAAAGACCCTTTTCCAACCCCAAAACAATTGGGTTGAGACTCTTCAGAGAGCACGTGTTCGGTGCCATCCAAAGTACCAGCAACGAGCAGGGACTAAGCGGACCCTTGTTTCCCATATCGCTTTGGGCCAACCTTCGTATTCTTGGTCCGCTGCTTATGCGCCATGCTCAAAGCTTTCTTCTGCGTGTAGTTGGCAGGGACGGCCATCCGCCCACTTGTGAATGTGGACAACCCTTGCAAGGGTTAAGACCTGATCTCGCCCACACAGGCCGCAAATCCAGGAATTTGCAAACAAACAAATAAAAAAATAAAACAATCCGAAAAACTCAATCTGAAATAGTCTGAATCTGGGAAGACTCAAAAGAAACTAAAAATACCTCAAAAACAACTCAAGCAACAACTCAAGCAGGGGTCTGGGGAGGGTTCTGGGGGTGGGGGAGGGGCAAAATGCAAAAATAACCGCAGAAAACACAAAACAAAACACACAAAAAACTCAAAAAAAAACTCAAAAAACTCAAAAACCACTAAAGCAACAACTCAAGCAAGGGTCTGGGGGATTCTGGGGGTGGGGGAGGGGCAAAATGCAAAAACAACCGCAGAAAATCAATTAAAAAAACAACTAAAAACAAAAACTCAACAAAAACTCAAAACAGACTCACGAAAAACTCAAAAACAAACACCTCAAATCTCCTGCTGTGTTTTTTTTGTTGTGTTTTGTTTGAGTCTCCTGCTGTGTTTTTCTTGTGTTTTTTTTGGGTCTCCTGCTGTGTATTTTTTGTGTTTTTGTTTTGAGTCTGTGTTTTTAGTTGAGTTTTTTGGCTGAGTTTTTTCTGAGTTGTTTTGAGTTTTTGTTTGTTCCGCTAAAACCTCTCCTGTCTGAGCCCGTCTGACGATCAGGAAAGCCAGACAAAAGATGACTTTCAGTGCATGGGAAAAGTTAGGCATGGTCATTTTGGGGCCCTGAATGGCAAATTGATCAACTTCCATGTGGCTTCTGGTGAGGTCTTTGGCAGACGATCGGCTCTGGCGCTTGGGGCGACACCTGGATGGGTCCTTTCTCTTGCTGCTGGCCGGGCTGGGCAATTCGGTCGACCAGCCTTACTATACATGAAAACCGAAATTCACTTGTCTCCACTGGGAGACCCTGTTAATCAACCAGGTGGGTTGGTCAAGCCTAACTAGGGCCAGTTGTTTTTCTACTCCACAGATTAACATGGAGCACTTGTAGAGGAGGTTCCATGTTAATCTCTAGAGGAGGATCATTTTTTTCGTGTTCCGTGGCGAGCCTCTGAAGGGCGGAGCAACCTACCTGACGGGGTACCGGGTCGCTGATGTGGCAGGTAGCCGGTAGCACCTAGAGGCTGTTACTTGTGGTCGAATCTTATCTCATTGAAGCCTAGACAGTACTCGGTGATTTGGACATGGTTGAACAGATCTTGCTTGTTTGGTGCTCCGTGGACAACATCTTTGCTGTCAAGGGACGGGGTTTTGTAGGGAAGACCCTTGTTTTGATTTTGTTTTTTAAGTGGGGTCAGACTCCTGCCCCTAGCAGCTTGGTAAGAACTCAATGATCAATGGTTGTCAAGGGCTCCTCTCAAAAGGGACGATTCGCAAATCCCCTTAGAGGCGTGTCTGGTGCCTAATAGCGCCTCATAAGGTCTAATGTTCGCCAAGGATGAACAAACCTGTCCTATTAATAGGGGGGTGTTTCCGTCCAAAAGTGATGAACCCCCACTAAACCCAGGGACACCCTCCCTATGAATACGGACGGTGATGGGTCCTTTTTTGAGCAGCTTGGCTCTGACCTCTCCGGAGCTTGACATCGAACCCCAGAACACCGGCATCTTCGGCACCGCCTTGTTGGGTTCCATGTTGATTTGCAGGTACCCTTAGAGTCTTGCTCTTCCAATTTGTTCGCTTTAAAGTGCAGTTGGCCCAGTTGCTCCTGCCGACTAATTCGGAAGAATGAGTCTCGCGGCGCATCGTTGTTCGTTGGGTCTCGAAAGGGGTTGGTGCCAGGGACCCTCACTCGCAGGGACAAAAACACGGCTTGGAATTCAGTTGAACCGAACCAGGTTTGAAGAGTCCGGTGTCGCACTAGTCCACAATGCAGCACTCTCAAAACCCTTCAGTGCTTCCTCGTTGGCTGTTCGTGCCTTTCGAACCACCGACATCAGGTAGCCCTTAAATCGGTGGTATGGATTGGCGGTTTGGGGAGTTGAACCCCTCGTTCTAGAGGGCAGATGGAGAGCCACCAATTGCAGGGACGCTGAAACAAAGATGGGTGTTTTTGTTTCTTTCCGTGGTCTCAGGTTTCCCCTTGATTGGTGGTTTGGATTCTTGGTTTGGGGATTTGAACCCACCAATTGGAAAGAAGCTGACGATTCATTCTGTCCCATACCCGCTGTGACCGTACACAGGCGCAAGGCTTCGCGCATTTGCACGAGCACCCGTCAGGCGCGCATTGGGGCATTGGGTTTTGGAGGCACACAGGGCTCTCCCTGTCCCTTGAAAAGTTCGGGGTGTCTTGGTTTTTTGAGGGTACCCCTTTCTTCTTAAAGGTATACTAAGGGACAATCAACCTTGTGAGGGTTCCCTCAAAAGGAGACAAGCCCAATTCTAGCGACTTTCTGCTCATTCTTTCCGGGGATCCTTTTTGCCAAATGGCCGAAAACGAATGGAACTGTGTTGGTTTCTCAAACAGTTGCGTTAAAATAATGGCGCATGAGCCGAAGGATAAATGGGATGGCCTCTTAATCTTGGGTTATGTTGACCTGATTTGTCGAGGGTTCATAAGAGACTTCTGGTACTATTTCAGAGTTTAGGGTTGAGAGGACAAATTTCCTCTGTACATACATTCATTGGGTATAAAATTGGTCTGGGGTCTTTTTGGTACTTCGTTTCCTGGGACGTCTTTGGAGTTGTCAAGACGTCAAGGTCCCAATAAGGGCAGCGAAAAGACCAGAATCGCAAGGCGGCCATGGCTTCCTTTCGTGCCCCAGAGGGCCCAAACTCAGCTGGCTGTTTTTGTCAAAACCGTTTTGGTCGATCCCATTTTGGCTGGTAGGTGTACCACCCATCTTAGAACCCATTTTAGTGGTTGGATTGGATTGGGATGTTCACTGGGGGTACGATTTAGATTTTGACCCATGGCCAGCTGACGATTTCGGTCCGCGCCAGGTCCGCAGATGATCCAAATGGCACTTGGCTCAGCCGCGAGAATCAAGGCCAAATCTCCACGCCTTGGTGACCTCTGGCTGCGGGGCTTGATCAAGAGGTCCGATGAACATGGGATGACCCTTGGTTGGGAAACCACAAAAAGGATGATATGTCCCACTTGTTGGTAAAAGCTACCCATGGTCATTTGGGGGTCAGGAATATTGATCAGCACCCATGCTGTGAGGGTGACCCCTCTTGGACGTACCCCAATGCTGAGAGATGGGTCATGCAAGCTTACGAATGACAAGCATGCGGTTGGCATCCTTTCCGGTTTCCTTTGAGGCTGGTTTGAGAGATGAAAACTGTGCTGGCGTGTCAGATTAGTGGTTGCCCGTTCTGTTTAAGTTGGAACTGATGAAGTCATCCTGTGTGTGTGGGTGTTTGTTTCTGTGTGTCTGCGCGTATGTGTGTATGTGTGTAATTATGTGTGTATGCGTGTATGTGTGTACTGTGAGACTTGACACTGCTTCTTTGTGGGGCTGTAAGATGGAATGCGCTACGTGATGCCAACCGCATTTTTGTTTAGGCTGTGACAGCACTCGGCGCCTCCCACCTTTGTCCCAGGCGGGCGTGGTGTGTCGGCAGAAGCTGCAGCGGCTTGCTTTTGCTGCCAGCTGGCTTCGCTGTAAGAAGCGCTGCCAAAGCGGCATGTCCAACGCTGGTACGAAGCAGCTGCCAGTTGGCCGGCCAACATGCTCGATGGCGTCGTCCCACTTTTGGGGCCGCTTTTTGGCCCCAAAAATGGTGCCACCCTCTTCCTTATCACTAAGCCACAGCCCCAGCGGCTGGGCCCGCTTTGGGGTCAAAAACACGGCTGCGCAAGTGCACCATTTGTGCAAGGGCGTTCATATGCCCGAGGATCTTTTTAGATAGCCTTCCAGCCCTTGCGCTAGTGTGGAGCATGGACAGCAAGCGTTGCAACCAGCATTGCCACAAAGGGGCAGCTACCCAGCGCAAGCTTGTGCAGCTGCAGCTGGTACAACTTTGAAACCGCTCACTTTGTTGCCCGCAGAGGTTTTGGTGAGACTATGAGGGCACATGGTAGGGAAGGCTATTTTGGACAATCTGCTTGGCCCTTGATCAAGGGACCTTAGAGCTGCCTTTTTGGCGACACCTGGAAGGAACGGCAGAAGCGTACAGAACATTCAGAGATCCTTGCTGCGCTGTGTTTGGGCTTCTTTATGAAAGCAATCTTGCGTCCCGCGTTGCAAATGTCATACTGCCACCCGTCCCCCGCTCCCCCTTACAATGAAGAAGGAAGTCGCGGGTGAACGTGTGTCTAGGTCCCCCGCTTAACACGTATCCGGGATCCCCTGCTGTTGTAACTCTTTGTAATTCTCAAATGCCGGAAAACGTATCCGGGCTTCTTCTGATTGGAACATGTAGAAACCGTGTGTCCGGGCGTATCCGGGGCATGTCGCGGCGAGTGCAAAGCTGGGCGCGCGCTGCCAGCTCGCGCGCACGTGTGCACGGGCGCCGTTTTTTGTGGCCCGGGCGTTGGCGGCGAACCCGCATCACTGTCATGAGTCTCGTGTAAAACGGTTGTGTTTGAAGTATGTTGCTGGGGCCGGAGCTAGGCCCGAAAAAAACCCGCGTTTTGACATTCTCCGCTGTGGGCCCTCATTGTACGTGTGGACGTGTGTATGTGTGGACGTGTGCATGTGTGCATGTGTGCCTGTGTGTCTGTTTGTATGTGTGTATGTGTGTATGTGTCTATGTGTCTACGTGTGTACATGTGTAGGTGTGTACGTGTGTATGTGTGTGTGGGTGCGTGCGTGCGTGCGTGCGTGCGTGCGTGCGTGCGTGCGTGCGTGCGTGCGTGCGTGCGTGCGTGCGTGCGTGCGTGCGTGCGTGGGTGGGTGGGTGGGTGGGTGGGTGGGTGGGTGGGTGGGTGGGTGTGTGTGTGTGTGTGTGTGTGTGTGTCTGTGTGTCTGTGTGTCTGTGTGTGTGTGTGTGTCTGTGTGTGTGTCTGTGTGCATGTGTGTGTATATGTGATGTATGTGTGTATGTGTGTAGGTATGTAGGTATGTGTGTGTGTGTGCATGTGTATATGTGCGCACGTGTGTACATGTGTGTATGGGTGTATGCATTTATGTGTGTATACGTGTATGTGTGTATGTGTGTACGTGTGTAGGTTTGTCTGTGTGTCTGTGTGTATGTTTGTATTTGTGTCTGTGCATGTGTGAATGTGTGTTGTGTTTATGTATGTGTCGGGGTGCCTTCGCGTGCCCCCTTTGTTTTTTTCTGTTTGCGTGCGGGCTTGCTTGCTTGCTTGCTTGGTTTGTTTGTTCTTGTTTTGTGTTTGCTTGCTTGTTTGCTGTATTGAAGGGGGGGTACCTTGATGAAGGTTGCTTCTTGGAGGTCCCGTTCTTGTGGTCCTGAACCCAGATGCGCAGACTAGTGCTTAAGTCTGCTCCCCAACCTCTGCCTGGCCTGGCAGATGCTATTTTGGGTTGGATTGCTCTAAATCTGCAATCGTTTTTGCGGTTTGGGTTGGGGACCCGTCAAAATGAATGTTTGTTTTCTTTATCGAGCGGACGCCTAGGCAACAAGGAAGACTGTATTTGGCAAATGGGAATCCTTCACTCAGGTTCTACTTAAATCCGGGCCCGACGATCGAATCGCCCTGCTGAAGAGCTCAGGTGAAGGAGCAGGTCGAGTTTCTGCTGGCGCGGAGGGTAGAGATGTCGTGCAGCTGAAAAGATTTTTGACTTGGCCATTGGAGTGAGAACGCCTGGAGTTCTTTGCAATTGACTTCCATTTGGCTAAGAGTACTTGTTATTTTCCCCGGTTGGCGTTCAAGGGAATCTACCACTACCCTCAAAGCACACACCCATATAAGGAATGTGGAGGGTTTGACAGTTTCAGTTTGAGCCGGTGCCGTGACACTTCCCTCCGTAAGCGGCTTCAGGACGGGACTGGGGGCATAAGTCCGAAGCATGGACACCAAGCCTAGGCCCACCAGCATGTAAGCTTGAGCTGGTTAAAAAGCAAAGGACTCGCAACTGTTTACACGCAAGAGCCGCATGCTTTTGTAGACGGCCATGTGGAAATCAGTGGACGTGGGGGATGCCAGAGCCTGATCTACCTCTCTCCCAAACCGCGGGTCAAGGGCATTCCCCAAGTTCCGCTTGCTCACAAAACTGTGTCATGCGTAATCCTCACATACTAAGTTGATAGGTTGACAAGACGAAGCTCCATCTTGCTAAGCCTCTTCTGACATGAAGCAGAGGCCTACCAACTCCGAGTTGGTTGAAAGGCAGCCAAAAGGACAGTCAAGATTTTGACGCGTGTCCTCGCTAAACATCACCACGTGAAAAGGAAATGCACTTGCAAATTGCCACAAGGTGATATTTCAACAGGCCGCCACGATATATATATATATATACACACGGACTGTGACTGGCCTGTTGCCCCAAAACGTCGTTGCCATCCCATGAGCGTGTAGTGGCTCCTTGCTCCAAGGTTGCATCCTCACTGGCTCTGCTTTTCGTGGAAATGAGAAAAATACAGTTGTTTTTTGCCACAACCTTTGCTTTTGGTGTTTTTGTGCGTTTTTGTTTAAGAGAAACGGTCATGCCCAGTTAACATCATTTTGTACATTGCACTGATTCTGGCGAGCTCAATCTGGGTAAAACATGAGCCTGGGCCCCATGATCATGGTTTTGTACTTCCATGTGTGTCCTTAAATTCAGGTTGAAGAGGATGAATTTGGATGAGTTGGTTCGGTGGTGGCCGTGGCTAGGATTTTGTTGAACCGTCTCCAGATGGTAGACCCCGCCAAAAACAGTTCTTTTCCGCTTGGGTTCCCCTTTTTACGCGGAATACCACCATCAAACTGGCCTTGGTGATCCAAGAATTTCGGGGTATTCGGGTCATTCAAGGGCCCATGACCCCAAAGTCTACTCTGCTGCCCAGTGGTGCCCTTTTTACCATTTTTGGGAAGGGTCCCTTTTAAAGTCAAGCAGCCAAAAAAGGATGCTCTTTTTTTGCCACGGCCACTGAGCCTCTGAGTCTACTTTGTCCAGCCGGGTATGATACATTCGATCATGTTGAAACCTGGATGCAGTACGGATGAGCTGTAAAATGATGTAAAATGACTCCCTGCTCTTGAGTGTACCATGTCTTGTGTTGCTTCCGGTTTTGCAGGAACACCGAACAAAACACCACCATGGAAATCCAGATTGTTGGGGGACCCCGAAAAAGACGAAAGCAAGAAGGACTGGATCGGGAAAGCGGAACACATGGGAGGCCCTGCTGCAGAGCCACTCGCAGCAGCTGATCCAGTGCGCCGAGCTGAGTCCAATCGGCTGCAGGCGAGCTTCAAACCTTACCGGGCAGCACCCACGCAAAAAGTCGGGCCCGCGTGGTTTTTTCTTTGTGTTCATGCTCTGTTTCTTTCACTGAATCCGAATGTTTGAGCCGCTTTTCAGTTGTTGGTGCAGTTTCGTCAAGTTTCGAAATGCCTCGCCTTTAATTCCTGGTCCCCTTGGCAATTGAGGAGATTGTCCGGCCCAGTTGCCGCAGCAGACGTTTTTCAGCTGATTTTGGGCGGATTGCAACACGTCGGCTGGATCGGTCATTGTTATCCGCAAAAGATTGGAACGCTCATTTATGTACCTAAACTTTCAAAACGGTTAATATGTTGTACGGATCGCACAAGATTGCAACAGCTCAGGAGGTTTTCGAGGCAGCCAGAAACAACAAAAAGTCACCGGGCCCGTTTTTTTCTTTTGGCCACCGGGCTCTCCGAAAGAGGGCAACATGTGTTTTAAAGAAGCAGGTTCTCATTGTCTTTCAAAGGAACCGACAAGGATGGTGTTTGAACAGCAGGCGTTTATGTTTTCTGGGTGAATTATAACGACCTCACACGACCTCACCCCAAATGGTGGTTTATGTGGGGAATAGCCCCCCAACCACCTTATGTCAGGTTGGTGAAGTATTATAATTCACCCAGATGTTTTGTGTAAACCGGGTTTGCAAAATCTTGGTTTCTCAGGACCCCGTTTTGCCAGAGTGCTGCGAGAAGTTTCAAGAAGCATTGGCGGTTGGAGGGGCTTTTGGTTCCCCCTGCTTGGCGCTATAGATAGGGAATGACGTAGGGTTTCGGGAATGAACTGAAAGGGGATTTCCTTTAAGGAAACCAGAGGGGATGGCTTACATATTATATACATTCATTCCCTCATTCCCTGCTGAGAACCAGCAAGAATAGCACTTACTCAAAATGGGAGGGAGACACTCTCAAGCAAAATGTAGACATCAGATGTCTTCTGGACAGAGGAAACCCCGTATGCTATGGGGAACCGAAAAAAGGTAGTGAGTTTCCCAATTCAAACCAGAGGTCACAAGGGTATTGATTTCAGGGCCACGCGGCGCCATTTCAACTTAAGCTGGCTTCAGACTGGTTTTTCTGGGACCTGTTTCCCAGCTTCGGAGCTTGAAAAACGCGGCAGCTTCACGACGCTTACTAGCTGAGTTCATGGACTTTTAGACTTTTGCCGGAATACCATGTTAGTGGTAAATAAAACGTTCAAGCTTCTTTTGGCCCATCCACTGCAAATGTGAGAATATGTCCTGTTTGTTCTGTTTTAAACATCAGCCTTTGGGCCCATTTACCGTGGTTTCCCCCTGGTGGGGTGATGTTGGCAGGGGAGATACCGGGAACCCTGTTTCTCACTTCCTCAGTGGCTCAGTTGTTCAGTGGCACCCTTTTTCCCCTTTTTTTTGAGTGGCTGCCCCACTAAAAATGGTCTTCCCCAAAAAGGGTTCCCTCTTTTTCCAGGGTCACTGAACAACTGAGGTGGTAAACAACCATTTTTTTGGCTTTTGGTCACACCAATCAAAGCGAGGCCTTCCTGCCACTGGTGGAGATGATTGGAGCAAAGAGACATTTAGGAAAAGCGCCAACGAACGAAAAGGAGCACAAGAAACCAACAAGAAACAAAAAACGTACGAACAAACAAGAACCAAACAAGCAACAATGCATTTTCAGGATACGAAAAGGGTCAGAAGCAACAAATCAAGCAAGAAACAAACAAGACACCAGGAGTGCCTTCCATTTCCATTCTTTCCAGGCATCCTTCTTTCTAGAAAACCAGCCAAAACCCTGGAAAGACAGCTGGTTTCTGAAAAGAAGGATGGTTCAAACGAATGGGGAATCAACCCCTAGAAACACATGTTGAACCCTGTGAAAGCTGTACCCAAAGACTGTGACATGCTGCACCCCAATGGGTCCCGAGAGAGCGAATGGCGATGCGCGGCTTTGTACGCTGCTGCTCAGCTTGTGGGGGGCTCGGTGAGTGAGGGGGGCTTCACCAGGTTTTACATAAAGCCCTATGGATGTGGATGTGCGTGTTTGTTTGGAGGGTAAGCTGTTCAGGGTTGGTTTCAAAAGGATTTCAGAAACGGCCCCTGGAAGTGTTGTCGGGGTTCCCCGAATTTGACACATATCCACATAGCTAATAGTTTTGTTCTTGAGCCTAAATGAAGCCAAACGCGGATGGATACACATATCTTTCCAGACCCACATCATGAACTCCTAGTCTATTTGTTGTACCCACCCTGTTGCCCAATCCTACAGCGTGCTCGCGATGGGATTCTTTGGAGTTAAAAGGATTCTCCTGGTCTTGTGTGACGAGTGAAGTTTTAGAACCCTTTCAGAGATGTCGACGTCAAGACCCGCAACTTGACTGCTATTGGGTTGGATCTTTAGACTTTAACTTTTTGTGAAGTCAAGGGGTTTTCCACTAAGCCCACAAAAAGTTAAACTTTGTGCAGAGGGTTCAACAGCGACCAAGGCAAAAGTAGCCAGATGCGATTGGATCCTAACACAGCGCCGCACCTTTGCGACGTGTACCGCGAATGGAAAAATCGGGATGGGGCGAATGGCTCGGATGCGCCCAGCTCGAAGCCTTCTTTGCCTTTGGTTGCGATGCCAAGTAGCTTCTTCTCGACATGTGCACCCAAAACCAAGGATTGTTCAAAAGGCGTTGTTGGACCCCAAAGGGTAGCGCCCTTGAAATGGGAAACCACAACTGGAGGCATCCCTACGGTTTTTGAAAACACCAAACACGAATGAAGCCAATCAAAAAGAGTCGGCGCGGCCGCCCTTTGAGTTCTGGATACGAGCTGTTGTGAAAAGACCTGCTTGCTTGGGTTCATGGACCCCTTACAGGAATTTGGAAAGTTGTGCGGGTTCCATCTTTTGCCTGGGAACCATACCTTCTTTCCCAACCAATTACGAGCTTCACACAAAGTGAAACATCTTCTCCTGGTGGCACTTGGATCCACTGGGAATTATTTCTGATTTTTAAGAGGAAACCACCTGTCAAAGTGGATCCCTGAGTCTCCACAAGTTGTTTTTTTTTTGGGGGGGGTTGGCCACATCCACAATCCACACAGGATCAATCAACATTCACACCACAGTGGCCCTTTCGATGCGAGCCCCGAGGGCCTGCGCGCAGAACCTCTTGGAGGCAGTGAGCCGGGGTGATGCCAAAAAAGCGCGCGACTCGGCAGACAGGAGACGGGACGGGGCCGTCACCCCAAAGATCCCATGGTACCTTATCTAGGTCCCCCAGTAGTGCCCTTTTACCCTTGTTTGGGGAAGGTTCCCCTACTAAAATAGGCTACAGAAAAACGGGCGCCCTCATTCTAACCTCTCTACTGGAGGACCTAGTTATAAGGCAAAATGCTCCAAAAGCCAGACTCAGATAGCACTTGAAACGCTTGGGTCAAACATGCCAGGTTCTTCTCAAGATCGATACTCAAACCATATGCCAGATGCCAGGTAGTGGTCACGGGCAGAATGTGGGATCGCCGAAATTTGGAACTTGGCCAAAGGTGCAGGCCACCTCCTGTTTAGACCCCGCGACGAAACACAAATGGGTAATAACCCCCTTTTCCAAACATCAACCTGACAGAAGGGTTTCGGACTGCAGTTTTCTTGATAAGGCCTCGGTTCTACTTGCAAACACCTCCGAAAAGTGTGTATGTAGCCTGTGATGTAATCTGCAGGAACGTGGGTGGACTATCTGGATTTCCGGATTTCGCACACAAACCATGCACTGTGTCGCCCTCCCAGACTTCCAGTTGGCCCTCTTTGTAACTTGTTTTTTTGAGAGGGATTCCCTTTAACGTCTTAGCTAACAAAACGGAGTGTCCTTTACCATAAACCTGAAGGTCACCGGACCCGTAGTCAAAGAACCCCTTGAGGGGTACCGGGGTACTCTTGAAGAATCTGGATCCCCAAACACAGAGAAAACGAGGTTCTGCTATAGATTCGCTCCCGATCAGTGGCACGGGGCCCTGGTTGGGTTGATTAGACAAGTCCTCATTGGGGGAAAGCTCTGTTACTGGGGGAAAGCTCCATGTTCTAGTATGTTTTTGTTTATTTTCTTGTACCACGGTGGGGCCACTCGAGTGAGCAGAGCTTGCCGCGCGAGCCGTCGCTTCGATATCCCGAGCTACCTTCAGGGGCAAGACACTTAAGCAACAATGATCGTCACCCACTTGCTATGGTTTTTTGAGTCCCCTTGGATTACCTACACCTAAAGCATTGATGATCTCTGCCCTATTGCTTTCTAAATAATTTGTGGGTCATGCCCCCTAGTCCAAGTGCCTTCTGAGCAAGGCTGCCACTCACCTGGCAAACTCAGTTTTTGCTACGGAAGACTTGAATGTGTTTGGTGGGCAATCCTGAATCACCTAAAGGATGTCCACCAAAGTGTCCCTACACTCTATAAGTTAACATGGATCCCAAAGAGGGGGTGGGTGGGTTTTGTTAGGGTAATCCACATTAAACTGTAGGGGAGAACCCCTCCTCCCACTATCAAAGCACCTGGAGGGTACCCTCTGTCAGGTGCTAGGGGCAACGTGGGAGGGAGGGCAGTTGTTTTCAAAGGGACCCCCCCTCAACAGAAACAGGGCACCACTGGGCCTTGACATATTTGTTTTTATTGTTGTGTTGTTTTGTGTTTTTCCCTTTTTGTTTAGACAACTTTTTGTTTAAGAGTTGTAAATGTTAAACACCTAAAAAACAATTCCTGGGTCTCTGGGTTGAGGTGGCGACCCATGCCTTCCGTGAGTCGACTCAAGGACAGCTATTGGACTGGCGCGCGGACGTGGACCAGCGGGACAAAGCGCAACGCTCTGCCCTGCACTTGGCGGCCGCCCAGGGCGAGGAGAGAATTCGGAATGCCGGTTTTGTGGGGCTGTCGATGGTCGCCAAAGTCATCCAAAGCGCCGAAAATGGAATTTCACTCCCTGGAACCTGGACTTGAGACTTGT